AGGGCCATCACTGCGGAGACCTCTTTGTGTGGGGGAGGGGAGGCAGGCGGGGAGTAGGAGGGGCGTGATACTGCCAACCCAGGGCTCCTGGAAGGTGGGATGTTGAGCCAAAGGGGATTATTGTGAAGCCATAAGATCTAATGGAACTTGCCTGTCTAGTGTTGAGGCCTGCATGGGACCCATCATCCTTTATTCGTACCTATTTCCCTTTTGGAATGGGAATGTCTATCCTATGCCTATTCACCATTGCATTTGGAAACACATAGCTTGTCTGGTCTCCCGGGATCACAGCTGGAGGAGTCCTGCCTCTGGATGAATCATACCCAGAGTCGTACCCAAGTGATATACATACTTAGATGAGACTTTGGACCTCAGACTTTAGAGTTGATGCCAGAATGAGTTAAGGTTTCTGGGGCTATTGCAATGGAATGAATGTATTTTACATGTTATAAGAACATGAGTTTGGGGAATTAGGGGCAGAATGCTATGGACTGAATTGTGTTCCCCCTGCCCCCCCAAAAAATATTCATATGTTGAAGCCCTAACCCCCAATGTGACTACTTGGAGACCATTCAGGTTAAATGAGGCTCTAAGAGTGGGACCTTAATCCAATAGAATCCATGTCCTTATAAGAAGAGGAAGAGAGTCCAGTGCTTGCTCACTCACACTAGCTCCCTACAGAGAGCTAGTGTAAAGCCACAGAGAGAAGGCAGCTGTCTGCTACCAAGAAACCAAACCTCCTAGTCCTTGATCTTAGATTTCCCAGTCTCCAGAACTTCGAGAAATCAATTTCTATTGTTTAAGCCACTCAGGCTATGGTATTTTTTATAGCAGCCCAAGCTAACTAATACATGTTTTGTGCCCTGTTTCCCCATTGATAAGACAGGGATAATCGTGGCTACCTATGAGGACAGTTGTGAAGAAAGTTAACCTAGGAAAATATGGAGGGCAGAACCCAGCATACTTTAAGTGCTATGTCTCTTTGAGGAACTGTTATAAAAATGAAGACTGCCTCTATGCTCAAGGTGCTTGGAGTCCAGCTTGCACAGGTGCCATAGGGCCTTAGCTAGGTATTGAGCTAACCCGGAAAATTCTCACTCCCATTGGCTAATAGTTACAACTCCACATTCTTCAAGCTTTAATTTGTATTCCTCTTAAAGGTTAATTTTCCCGGGAAAGGTTAGCAGTCACTTATTTCTCAGGTAATGAAAACAGATGGAATGAAAGATATTAGATGTAGGACCTGAGAGGATGAGGACAGAGACCACTGGAGGGCTGAAGAATAAGAATGCAAGCTGAAGGCCCTGAAGCCTATTTCTTCAAAGCATGAAATTAAGGAGAAAGTACAGTTGAGTAGATTTGTAACAAGCAAGGCCATTTAAAGGGTAATGGTAAACTTTGAATTATCACACACACAGAAAAAATCATTAAAGACTCCAAAACTACAATTTATTTGTCTGCAGAATATAGACCTGCACCAGTTTTTTCACTTTTCATATTTGGAACCTGAAACACAGAAGAGAGTTTATTGTAAATGCTAAAGATAAGAACAGACAGGTCACAAAAGAAATATCTAAAAGTTTGTTCATTTCATTAATAATCAAAGATGTTTGCATTAAAGACATCATTTTCACCCAGTAAAAATCTATCATTTTAATAGATCCTACTGTTGGCAAGGATATGATGAATTCAGCACTCTCACATAGATGATAGTATTATAAATTAGCACCATGCACTAAGTCATAGATTGTACCTACCATGGCTCAGGAGTTGTACTTCTGGGAATCCATCCTTTAAAAAAAATACAGAAAGAGTGAAACACATTTGGTTATTTGCCCTGTTTATGAGAACAAAAACCTGAAAACAAATATCTGTCTATTAGAAAACTGTCCAATTTAATGAGCCATTAAGACTTGTAATAGCCCTGACCAGTTTGGCTCAGTGGATAGAGCACTGGCCTGCGGACTGAAGGGTCGGGTTCGAGTCTGGTCAAGGGCATGTACCTTGGCTGTGGGCACATCCCCAGTGGGGGGGGTGCAGGAGGCAGCTGATTGATGTTTCTCTCTCATCGATGTTTCTAACTCTCTATCCCTCTCCTTCCTCAATAAAATATATTTAAAAAAAAAAAAAGACTTGTAATAAAGACCATATATTAACCTCTAAACATGCCAATGGTAGAATAAGGAAAAACAGAACACACAATGTTATCTACCCCATGGTAATTTCTTAACTCAGTTGTATAGAAAAAAAATATTTGAAAGCATTTTAGAATATATCCATCAGCAGTTTTACTAAGATCATTTTGTATCCTCTCAATTTTCTGAAATCTCAACTTGAAGAAAAAACAAATGCATGACTAAAAAAATAAACTCACTTAAATGATGGTCAGGCAGTCTGTATATCAGAACTTACATGTGTGTCACTGTGGATAATAAAATGCCAAATGCTTTAACTTAGGTTAAAGTTCTTATTTATTTCCTAGTCCCCTCTCATTCACATTTCAAGGGTGAGTTTTGTCAGAATGAAAGGCTGTTACAGGATTTAACACTATTTCCCACATCCCACTGACTCGCTAAGTATTGGGCAAGTTACATAAACTTCTGTCCCTTAGTTTCCTGACATGTACAATGGATATAATTGTCTGTACATCACAAGTTGGTTACAAAACTTAATAGGTTAATAGATACCATCTTCCAGGAACAGTGTCTGGCACAACGTAAGTATCAACAACTATTTTTCCCCCTGACCTCGATGAAGCCTTTTCACTATCCATGTGATCAAGCTTTCTTTTTTTGAGTTCAAAGTTAGCTTTAGACATTTTACTTTAAAAGTTTTTATATAATCTAGAAGGTTTTAAACCTAAGAGACAAATTTATGTAATATTGTGTTTACTTGAAGGGTTAAAGGGTAATTTAATCTTACCAGCCTATAGTCTAGTAGTATATTATGTATCATTGTCTTAGTGTTTTTCTTAAGTGTTTCCTGGAAAATCCAAAAAGGTAATATTTAAGCATCAGAATATGAAAACTTAAATTTTATTAATGTTGTCCGATTCTCACAGCTCATTAAAAAGAAAAGCCTGTTGGCCTCATCTAAGTCAATGCATTACAGGACCAAGAAGAGTGTGGTCTGAGGAACAGAAACCCAGCTTGCTGCCCAACTGCTTTAATAAGGCAGGTGCACTCCTGTTGTTGGGGGTGTTACCGGATAATTTGACATATTACCCAATGTACTTTTCCCTCCATCTAGTCCTTGGATCTTAGATTTCCCTCATCCACTCAGTCAAGACTTGGGGTTGGGATGGGTGGCAGCAATAGAGGAGAATGGCAAGAATTGGATGGAAGTTTCCCTCAAAGGTAGAGGCTGGCCTTCCTTGGACAGACAGCACTTTGGGTTAGCAGAAAACCAAATGCTAAGGCCACCTAAGCTAGTACTTGAGGGAGGTCAATGTGTCCTTCCACCTTTCCCCCTTATTCTAATCCTGGGCTGGGCTATCCAGAATAGGTCAAGGGCCATTACATGTCAGAGAAATAAAAAGAAAGCATTGGCTTTCTCAAATTATGCTCACTGACAGGGTTAGGAGCACAAACCAGGTAGAGTTCTTGCCAAACACACTTCACACACATACACATGCATGCACACACAATATACCAAAACCCACTTCCATGATTGATTTGACCTTTTGTCCTCATAGAAAAATTAGAGTTCCAACAAACTCCCTCTCTTATTTTTGCAAAGAAATAGAAATTTGTCTATCCGCTAACTTTTTAAAAATCTTCATCAGATTTGGCTTTAAGAGTCTTCCTTGGGTGCTGGTTCGATCTCCTCCCAAGTAGCTGCAGCCTCAGGAATCCTCCACCTGAATCACTCCAAAGTCAGATGGATCCCATCCTGCATGTCCCAGATCTCACCGTTCCAATGTTCCAGAGAGGACGACCAGCATCCGTATCATCACAGCCCCAAACCCTCGGTGCCCAAAGTTCAGAAGACACAATAATACCCCTGAGCCAAATGCAACCACTGGCACAACGCCCTTGGTCTGGGGCTGCAAGTTAAATGCCTAAACTGGTGAAGTAATAGGGGGTGGTGGAGACCAACAAACCAGAGAACACCCACCCCACCAAAAAGGAAGTTCAGTTTTTTAACTACTCTGTTGGCTAAACTTATCAGAACATGGCCCCTAGGCTACCAGTGAACACTGGGGCAGACAAAAGTGCTTCCTAAGGAAAAGCCTAGGCGGAAGACAGAAGGATAGATGCTTCCGGGCTTTCCCTGGGTGATGATAAATTAATCCCAACTCATTCCAGAGCTTAAAATGCCATTAGAAGAAATGTCTGCAGCGATTGCTTTCACACGGAGATGACCACAACCTGCAGAGGAAGTAGTAGAAATCTACCACCCACACAGCTTTCCTTCTCTGAGAAACGCTTTCCCAGGACTGCTGCCCGGACAGGCCAGGATTTAGAAGTGTGTGGTGGGGGTTTCATAATAGACACCATGTTTATCCATCTCTCTCTGTCCAGAGCTCCTCTGACCCAGCACAATTGGCACCTCACCCCAACACTGAAGGTGGCCTTTGTACAGGGACACAACCTCCATAGCATCACAGGCCACTCTGAACAAAATTCAGAGTCTTGCGTGATGTGAAATGCCCACATCCTAGCCATGCATGACAACAGAAGGAGTAAG